TATTCTTATATCAAGCAAGAGCCGATTGTTCAACTGACATGTAGGGGAAAATGGAGAAGGATTGATCGGACATACGTTGAAAAGGCCGTCGAATGACATCATGCGCAATGCGGGCCAATGTTCGAGTGGAATCCCAATGGGAAGTGACAAGTGGGTTTTCAGTGCAAGGGTGACATGAGGGAGATCGTCTGTTGAGGAGGAGGATATGAGAGAATATGGGCAACCGTGGACGCAAATGAAGACGGTGGCAGAAAAAAGAAGAAATTGGAGATGCTTTTCTAACTGCTTGCTAATCTTTTGTAGCAGTAAATGTTACTTTATAGTCATTCTTAGGCTTCAAGCCTGTAAGTTAAACATATAAAATTACATTTTCCCGTTTTTTTTGGTGATATATGCTGCTAATTACACGAAGAATGCCTAATTTTTACTTGTATTCCAATGGCGCTCATTGAAATTTGGAGTATTCGGGGTGTACCATATCATGGCGCGTAAAGTTTTCAAATTTTGGCCTAATTTACCGCCACAATTAAAAAGAATATATACATATATATATACACTACCTCTCAGATAAACACAGTTCTAAAATAAGAGAAAGAAACACCTAAACAAATCGTCACTAAAAGTAAATCACTTAAAATAAATAATCTATTTTAAAATATATGTGTATGTGTATATACATGAACTATCAAATCATGCGCATTTAATATTGAAACGATTTTACGTTAAATAAACAAACTACGCTACTGTTGAATTGGTTCAATACAGAAATGTGGAAATGATGATGTTAATTTAAGTAGGCCATATCTACATGTCATAAACCTTTTATTGGCTTTTAAACATCCATTTTCTGACATCTAAAAAGTGACATATAAGATAGAGTTAGAGGGTTTCGTTTTCGTGGGGAAGTGTTGCATAGATCCAGAAATTAATTCACCATAAAACCAAAATGGAACTGACAACTGACTGAATTCTACAGCATTGTTCCATTAAGTAGAAGAAGAAATGCTATCAAAACCCTCCTCACACATATTATTGTTTATTTTTATTATTCCCTTGGGTTAAGGTACAGGTTAGACTACTATTCTATGCTTTGTTCTGTAGTGATGATGCGTAGAATTACAATTTGATCAGCATGTGATTTGCCCTTTCTGAATCCAGCTTGTTCCAGGCGGAGTTCTGCATCCAGTGCACCTTTTATTCTCTCCAGGATGATATCGCTTAGTATTTTAACTGACGTGGACAAGAGCATAATTATTCCACGCCAGTTCTTGTACCCTATATGGGGCATCAAAGCAGCTTGATAACTAGAAAAAGACTAAACTCTGCTATTAAAAAGACTTTTTATGCAGTTAATATCATAATAATAGAGAATGTAAAGCCAATATATCTATCTAAGCCCTTCGAACATGCGAAAAATGACGTCACATCCCACTGTATTTACCAATTTGAATGTACGTGTGGACACACATACATAGGGAGGACTCATCGATATCTGCAAGTAAGAGCTTCAGAGCATATTCCTAAATGGCTCCAGAAACAAATGGAATCTTCAGAACCTATTAACAGTGGGAACAGGAGACCTAGCTCTTCTATTGCGAAACATATTGTAGAGACAGAACATAAAACTAACGTTAACAGGTCTTTTAAACCTACCTATATAACGTGTCTGGGGCGTATCCTAAATTTTGTGGAAGCCCTAGCAATTAGAAAGTTTAAGCCACCTTTATGAGTTCAAAAACAATTCGTCATCACAATGAACCTTATTCATATGAACTGTGATCAAGATTTGACCGGATAGTTGCGAAATAATTGAGCGCTGAGTGAGAAGTAGACGTTTTCCAAATATAATTTTACAATGAACCTTACTTGGTAAATTTTGTTTTGATACCATAGCAGATGTACTATTACCTCTGTTATTTGGTTTAGTGATCTTAATTGTATTTTGACCTTCAATATGTCCTTTTAACTTGTCCTAACTTGTCTATTTTCTCACCTCTTAACTCTTTATTAATTTCATATATATTCATTCCTATGACAAGTCCGTGTGCGATCAGATTGTTCGAAATGTGTGTTGCGCAAATACACAACACGCGATTCAGACAAATTACGTCTTCTTATTGCTTTATATATATATATCTTTCCCTTCCCCATTGCCCTCTCCTTGGTGTTTGTTGCCACTTTACATATCTCCGGTATAGGCATTGCGTTGCGTCATTTCGACTGCATGTGTCCAGTGTTCATTCGATAAAGAAAGATTTAGTGTCGTTGCTTTTGAATACCGTCACCCTGTCCCATCCAACCTATTGTGTGATTATATGCAAGTGAATGCAATAGCTGGGCTTTCTTCTAGGCTATTTAACTTAGCAGGATCAATCATTCTACGTCTAGCTACATTTTTATGTTCCATAAATCTAATTGACCCCTATCTATTAATTTGACCTACGTGTAATTGACCCAATTCACAGTCATCATTACATGGTATTTGGTTATTTATATCATCATTTTTCTTAATTGGATCTGTCGGATCCTTAAGCCGAAAAAGTTTATCTTTGAAAGAGTTGGTCGGTTGACTGGTTGCTTTGAATGTCGCTCTGACTAATTCCAGCCTTATTGAAAGTTCTACGCAAAGCTTCTGACGTTCCTTCTTAATATGGCGGTACTACAGAGTCTTTGAATTCTGTATTATTTCCGTCATTTCCCTAGTATTGTACAGTAATATTAACTGATGACGTTTCGAGCACAAACTATTGCCACTCATAATCATATCAAGGCACTACTCACACAACTTCTTTCCTTCATTTATATACATGTGTGGAATTGATGAATAGATATTGCAATAAAATTCAATATGAGATAATGTACATTCATAAGTAATAATATGAGTGCTATCAATCAAATACAATCAGATGGGAAATAAGACGAGTGTTTCTATAGTCAAAATAAGTAACTTGTTGAAATGTTACGATGTGTTTGAATTGCAACAGAATTTTGAGATTATTTATTATCCTCCTCTGATTTGACTGACTGGTGGTAATAATATCTTCCACGCATATCTCTGATATTTGCATTGAGTCAGTTCTGTTGCATGTGTTGTGTTGGGTAAAGGTGAACTCGATGAACCAGACAGGATTCAGTAATCAATCTCTCTCTATCTCCACCTACCTAGATTACTTCTTTGAATTTTAACCCCATCCCACCCAATGGTGTGGTTGTTTGTTAATGCATGAAGTGCAATAGCTGAGCTTTTTTCTAAATTGCTTATCTTTTCAGGGTCAGCCATTCTTCCCTTAGCTAAATTCTTACATTCTGATAATCTCACTACTCCTGATCTACTAGTTTGACCTATGTAGTTGAAGCAACTAACAGTCATTGCAAAGCATTTTGTAAATTATATTATTTAGTTGAATTGGGTCCACAGACAGGGTCTTTTAGCCTACAGAGCTTGTCTCTGAGTCAGTTTATAGGTTTGAATGCCACCCTAAATCCTGGTTTATTAAGTAAGAATCCTACGTAGGGCCTCAGATGTCCCCTCCCTCCTTATATGGTATAACAGTAGCTGACTTATATTCCCTCTTATTTATGTTATTATTATTATATTAGTTTCACCATTATTTTTATTTTGCTTTTGATCTTTTTTGATCTTCCTTATGAATTTTATAGGATAGTTATTCAACATCCAATATCTAATCGATTCCACACATGTATATAAATGAAAGGAAAAAAAGTTGTGTTAGTAACTTGATATGATTATGAGTGGCAATAGTTTGTGCTCAAAACGTCATCAGTGTGTGATTTATCAAAAAAAAATCTTATCTTTAATGGAGTTATACTCTACCACCACAGTGCCCAAGTTTTATAGTTATATTCATTTGTAATATATTCCTTTATTTGTTTGGTTGGAGGATTTCATCATGAGCTGACATCAGTCAGAGAAACATTGTAAGAGCCCATTGCAAATGCACATCTCTTAGCAAGTCTCTCGTCTTCTACCGTGACAAAACTATCTGTACAGTTTTGACGGGAAGTTATGAAGGGCATGTTCTGTGTTGACCTGTGTCTTCTTGATTTATTTCACACAGCTGATTTGTTTAATCGATTGTATGTCTATTTAAGAAGTGAGAAGTTGTAACCAACAGCGTCCATCAAGTCAAGCAAGAGGATAGTTGCTCACCTGTGACACCGGCTGGCGGTTGATTTAAATGTGTACCTCAAACAGACAGAAGTTGGAATTCATAGACTATTGGATCGGGTCCCAGTGGCTGAATGGCCTACGAGCCAGCTTGCCTGGTAACTGGAAAGTTCTGAGTTAGAACCCTGACAGTGGATAGGCACTGATGAAGAGTTCTGAACTAGGCCAAAACATCTGTCCAGTACTCCCCGTTGATTTTCCAGGGCTTCTCCAACTGATGTCATCTCGTAATCAATCCTGTAATCAATCAGATCCCTTGTGCGAACCAACGGTTGATATTTAAGTTAGACTTGGATTGTTAATCTACTGTTGAGAGAAATCGGTGGGGATCGATGATGTAATGAAAGTTTTTCTTTTGAGTCACATCATCGATTGTCTGATATCAGTTATAGAATCCCTGAAAAGCAACTGGAGGGTAGTACTGGACAACTGTTTCGTCCTACTTGTGGACTCTTCAATAGTGTGGTATATTAGTCACCAACCAGGTACACAGTTCGAATTTGAATCCCAGCTGACGAACAGCTAAATCTCAGGTAGTGTACGAGCCAACAGTTATCCCTTGAAAAGAGTGAGGATTATGCATAAGATCAGAAACCCCACCTTATAGCAAGGACCAACACCATTGCTACTGAAACCTTCATGATCCCTGACTAACATCCAAAATTGTGGCAATGACAACAAGTTGTTGTTTATAATCAAGTCACCTACCTCACGTATCATTTTTTCTCTGAAAGAAAAAATAAGTCGACATTTTATGCAACATAATAAAAAGGCTGAATAAAAAAGTAAAAACACGATAATCGATAATTACCTCAACAAAAACTGTGACTGTCGCCGTTGACGTCTGTGAAGTAACCGTCGATGGGTTGCCATCATAAGCAATCACATTAAACACATACATACTTTGTTTTTCACGATCCAATGACACTGACGTTCTCAAATAACCTTGTGTAGCGTGCAGGTTAAATGTTCTACGTATATCCAGCGGGGAATCATTTGCTATTCTCAACGTGATATATGATGTTGGTGAAGGAAACGCCTGTTTTGCCGGTGTTGATGATGCCGATGATGACGATGTTCCACCCGAAGCGGATAATCTATTCAACAAATTATGCGTCATCGCTTTACTCTCCACATCCAAGTCGATAGCAATGATACGTCCAACTAACCAATAAGCTGGCCGATTCTCTTTTACATGGAAGATATAACTATTTACAAAATTTAATTCATTATGATCCAGAGATGTAATGTTGTCAGTTGGATGAGTCGCACTGCCAGCGCCACCGAGACTTCGTGAAGAACTACCACTACTACTACTACTTAAACCGTCCTTATTAGTAGTATCTGTAGCATTGAACATTGAATTATTTGTTTGTATGAATAACGGTGGCCAATCGTTCACATCAGTGATTTTAATTTCAATCATCGCTGTACCTGTATGTCGAATTGATGTCAGCTGATTCGGCTGGTCCAGAGCATAAACATTGAAACGAAACAAATCGACATTTTCTACATCGAATTTCTTCAGTGCATATAACATGCCTGTTTGTGAGTCGATACGAAACAGTTGATCCACGCGGATCGCCTCACGACTATGATGATAAATGAAAACGTTTTTATCATCCAGAACAGTCGGTTTATTTGTCAGCAGGTAAGCTGAAGGTAGAACTGAACTATCTGATGGCTTGATCTCTAAGAAATGCTCATCCAGATAGTATTCAATCCGTGCATTCTCGCCTTGATCATTATCTTCAGCGAGTACACGACCAATACGATATTCATAATGATCTTCATGATCAGCACTGTCAACCGCACCGTCAACATTATCATCATCTTCTCTTCCATTTGACGTGGAAATTATTGATTGATGTGGTGTATGTGTGATTTTATCTTTATTATTATTATCATTATCCCGATTGAGGTATACAGCTCCGCTGTTAAACGACTTCACTTGCTTATCACTATTCTCTGGCAGATTAAATCGATATATCGATTTTTGAAATCTTGGTTGTTCATCATTCATATCTAGGACACGGATACGGATGGTTTGTTCATTGAAATTCAAAGCTTGATCTGTACATTTTATACGGATATAATATAGGGGGTTGAGTTCACGATCTGGTTTTGTAATTAAATTTAAAATATAATCATTTTTTGAATTTGTAGATGTCAGTGATGATGAGGATGTCGAGGACTGAAGTTGTAATCGATTATTGACTTCATGAAGGCTATCAATCATTGCATTATTATTATTATTGTTATTATTACCATATTGATCGATAGAATCGATCGATTTCAAGGAAAAGTTTACAGTATCAGTTAGTGTACACGTGACTTGATCATTTCCATTGAAATCAAGATCTCTTACTTGGACGTAAGCCAGTTGAATAGGTGGTCGAATATTTTCTTTGACTAAACCTACAAGGAAAAGAAAATAATGTATAATAATAGGAATGATATTTAAACATTAAACAACGGGATGTGTACAATTTGATTTCAAGGTTATATTTATAATGTTATTATTCCCTTGAGTCGCGAGTGGAACATGGGGCTTCAACAATCCATCTACACTTCGTTCTATTTTCTGCTATCCTCTTCAGCTGGGCATACGATTGCTCATAATCTCTTATTTCCTCCTCTTCTCCACACGATCTCCTCCATGTCATTCTTGCACTGGCGACCCACTCGTCGCCTTCCGCTGAGATTTCACTCGAGCGATTGGCTGCATTGCTTTCGATGTCACTCAGCGGTCTCCTCAGTGACGTGTATCCAATCCATCTCCATTTTCTCCTGAATATCTGTTGAGCAATCGGCTTTTGGTTGGTTCGTCGCCACCCGGACAGAGTTTCTTGTTGGTAATTCTTTCTGGTCAGCCAGCTTGCCATTTGATCTTTAGTGTGGAGCCAGCTAGCGAAGGAGGCGGCTGCTGATTAAAGCCCGCAGTAACCTGTTGCAAATCCTTTTCGTGAAGTGTGTACAGTGGAAGTTTCTGACCCCTATAGAAGAACTGACTGACCGACTTAACATTCGTGTTGAACAGAATCCGATTCTTGTTATTTATGCTGGCTGAGTGCAGAAGATTTCCGAAATGGTTTCAGGTTGATGAAGGCGAATCTCGCCTTTCCGATTCTGGCTGGCTGGCTGGCTTTGACTTCTTTATCCGTTCCGACTGCCTTTAGTTGAGACGTTACTTCCCAGATAAGTGACGGAAGAAGGCAACCTCTTTCAAATATCTCCCGCTGATGGTGATTGGCTCTGGTTTTTGCTGTCGCTACTGTTGGTGCGTGGGTATCTCCACCACCTCCGTCTTCTCTATGTTCACCTGGATGGAGTTCTGTCTCCACTGTCAGCCTCTTCTGCTAGTTTTCTTGGTTTTCACGTGTTAGTCTTCGAGTTTATGTGACACTAAACATAAATAATATGCGAAATCCAGATCTTCTAGAGTCTTTTTATGAATAGTCCGACGTATTTCTGTCTCCTCGCTCCCCTCAGTCTTAACTATGATATCAAGATAGATTTCGTCATTGACTGATTTCAGCCAACCATAATTATTTGAATGGGCAAAGTTAAAGACTATAAGAATGTTAGAGGCGATTGGCAGGAAACCTTCGACCTATGTCCACAAGGAACATGAGTTCCTTCAAGATTTCAGATACACTTTGCTAACTGATCAGCTGAAAACGAGCCGATACGAATATAAAACAAGTAATAAAGGTTAATAAGGCAGGATTTAATGATGAATTCATCAATTTTCGGTGGAACTCGTTAGCTGAATACTCTACATACACGGATACATATACACTATTGAAATTACATTGGGAGATATAGGACTGATAACCAAACATTGATATAAGTATAAAACTTGGGCACTGTGGTAGAGTATAACTCCATAATGGTTAAGATTTTATTTTGATAAATCACACAGTGTGTTTGTTATACAGTATTATTAACTGATGACCACGTTTCGAGCACAAACTATTGCCACTCATAATCATATCAAGGCAATCACACAACCTTCTTGCTTCATTTATATACATGTGTGGAATTGACTAGATATTTGAATAAAAATCAATATGAATTAATGCACATTCAGAGATGATAATATGAGTGTTATTGATCAAATACAATCAGATGGGAAATGAGACGAGTGTTTTTTTATAATCGAAATAAGTAACTTGTTAGAATGTTATGATGTGCTTGAATGGAAATATAATTTTAAGATTATTTATCATCCTCATCTGATTTGACCGGCGGCAATAATATCTTCCATATTTCTGGTATTTGCATTGAGTCACTTCTGTTGCATGTGTTGTGTTGGGTGTAGACTCAATGAATAAGGATTCCGTAATCAACCTCTCTTTCCACCTACCTAGATTACTTTTTAGAATTTTAACCCTCTCCCACCATGCTATTGTGTGGTTGTTTGTTAATGCGTGAAGTGCAATCGCTGAGCTTTTTTCTAAATTACTTATCTTTCAGTTTTCCCTTAGCTAAATTCTTATGTTCTGATAATCTGACTATCCCTGATCTACTAGTTTGACCTATGTAGTTTACTTTACAGTCAATACAAGGTATTTTGTAAATTATATTATTTTGTTTAATTGGGTCCAACGGGTCCTTCAACCTACAAAGTTTGTCTCTGAGTGAGTTTGTAGGTTTGAATGCCACCCTGATTCCTGCTTTATTGAGAATCCTACGTAGGGCCTCAGATGTCCCCTCCTTATATGGTATAACAGTAGAAGATTTATATTCTCTCTTATTTATGTTATTATTACTAGTTACACAATTATTTTTATTTTGTTTTTGGCCTTTACTGATCTTCTTAATGAATTTTATGGGATAGTTATTTACCACCAACGCTTATTCTATCTGTTTTATTTCGTCATTCAGGTCCTTTTTTGTGCTACTTAGTGCTATGGCTCGGTTTGTCAGTTAATATAACTGTACAACACTGTGTGATTTATCAAAATAAAATCTTAACCATTATGGAGTTATAACTAAACAAGTTACATTGAATTAGTCATGCAGAAAAACAATAACAAAACATCTTGACGCTGTCAAGTCACTCACTGTTGTCAGCAGAGAGACAAAGAAACAAGAAGATGCTTGCAATTGCAGAGGCTTGTAAAATTCGAATCTATAAACTAGGTCTTTGTGTACAAAAGGAGATGGTCGTGACTCTGAATCTACCATGGTAATACGTTTTACTTATTATTCTACCTCTTGTTATTATTATTATTATTATTGATTCATTTATAACTATCCTTTATCAGTAGCATTATCTTAACTCACTTCAACACTATTATTATTGTTATTGTAACTATTACTATTGACATCACTCTGGTTGCGATTCTTGTTAAATTCTCTAATGTCTAATTGTTTATCTAAGTGATGTAATTGAAGCGTAATGCATTTTGTCTTAATTTCAATCTCTCATACTCCGTCTCCTCTTATCTATTTGAACATGACATGGAAAACATTCACACCTGTCTTTCTGCATGACTAACTCAATGTAGTTTGTTTACTTATCAGTCTTATATCTCCCAATGTAATTTCTAAAGTATATATATCCGTGAATGCAGAGTATTCAGCTGACGAGTTCTACTGAAATTTGATGAATTTGTGGTGAGAGCTGGCTGCTAGCCAAAGTTGGTGAACAGTAATTGACGTCAATGTTTATGTCCTTAATATTGGTGGTGAGAAAATGAGAACAGAGGCTTTGTGTAGGCGGATACAGTTAGCATATGGATGATCTGACACAGCCAAAAAGAGATGCAAGGTTAACTTTGTGTGAAAAACAACCAATCAAAAGACTGTATTTTCTACTAACAATAATCTACAATAATGTACACTGGAATCTATAAATATGTGTTGATTTTCTTTAATAAATAATCTGTTGCCTGGCCCTTGTCTTCTGTCGATACAAATTCACCAAATCCTGCTTTATTAACCTTTATTGCTTGTTTTAACTGATGAGTACCAACAAGCACGAAACCCAGGTCCAAGTCTTCCTACTGATTGCTTCCACCTGTCTATTCACAACAATTCTTAGTGCGCCATGATAGCGAGCCACCTAGTGGTATGGTGGCCACGTCGCAAACGTGACTGGATAGAATTCAGTCCGTAGCGAACAAAGGACTAGATGCACAACACTAATTAGTGTCCAATCCAAGTTGAAGACTGGCGACTCGAAGGCGGAGGAATGTAACAGTGACCTGCGGAACGTATATGCGTTTCAGACCACCATTGATTTAAGCAAGAAATACATGGAGTATGAAGGAAGCACACAGTTGTCAATATCAGGGCAATTGAATGATCTGTGAAGCGTATAAACATTGAAAACTCATATTTCGTAATTTGTAAATGCATCTCTATAAAACTTCACTTGCTTCAAATGTCAATGAATCTTTTGTCGACAGACGAATATGACTTGTATGTGGCAAGGTGTTGATGCATGCAGTTACGGTCACATCACCTAGTTTATGCATAAAGGAAGGGCACACTGCAGAAACACAGCGATGGACGGAGAAGAATGTAGAAACTCAGTAGCAAACTTCAGGTCCATTTCGACTCATTACTTCCCACTTGCGAATATGGACCTGAAGTGTTTTACCGTGAAGTTTCTACCGAAGAGTCTTCGACCTGGAGCCAGCAGAGCAAGTTATCGAAACTGTTAAGTAGCACTGTAACAACAGAAGACAAGGGCCAGGCAACAGATCAGTTTTATTACGAAAACCAACAGGTATTTATATGTATTTTACGTACATTAATAGGCTTCTGCCCGCAGAAAGAAGGCGGTCTTCTGATTGGTTGTTTGCAAACAAAGGCAGTCTTCTTCTGCTTTCTCGTTTTCGATATTTCTCGGAAATGCGAGCCACTTGTCTGCGAATCATATTTGTCCACGTCTAGGTCAGCTGTGATCGGTTGTTGAATCAGCCTAGATTAATTTCTACTAATCAGCGTAGATCAATGTCTACCAATCGGCTAGCAGCTTGCTCTCACCACAGCACCATATTTGTAAAAACGAATTGATGAAAGTAGTGTAAGAATGCCCAACAAAAAGTCATCTGATTAGTTTAAGCGGAGGTTATGGGAAATCAGGGTTAGTAATGGTCTGGACATATGTTGTTAGGGTTATGTTAATTTCAGGCTAAGGAAGGATCGAAACTTGGTCAGAGATACATTGAGGTTAAGTGAGGGAAGGGTTGGGTTCATGGTTGAGTTAGGGACCCAAATTTGCCTTATTTTAACACAAATATTCGTTTCAAGGTCATTAGTGCGTTCGTTTCCCTTAGGTCGCAATTTTTAACTTCACCATGTAACATCTTTCCAGTGTCAATGTGATTTTGAAGCTTTCATTGTCCTTCAAGATAATATCTTCAGCGTTAAGCTAAGAATAAACTGACTGTTTTTTTTTG